AAAAAAAAAGCAAAAAAAAAAAAAAAAAAACAAGCGGAGGAGAGGGGAGGTAAAGTAGAAAGTGATATTTCTCTTTATAAGCAAGAAATTCTTTGCAACGGAATGTAAGATGGGCTTGAACTTCAAAGGACGACAACAGCAATCACTACGACATCGACGACGACGACGACGACGACGAGAACAGCAGCATCAGCAACGACAGCGATGATAGGTGACGATCGATCGTTGATGCCCAGCGGCTTTGAAGGAATATATTGGGTTGCAAATATCGGCAATTGTTCCTATGCTGAATTACTTTGCCGCCAGTAATGTGCTCTATGCATTTCCTGTTCTCCTTCTGCAAGCTGCTGCTGCTGCTGCTGCTGTTGTTGTTGTTGTTGGTTTTTGTTGTTGTTGTTGTTGTTGTTGTTGTTGTTGTTGTTGATGATGCTACAACTATCAGCGCTGTTTTTTTTTTATTTGTACTAGTTCCTCAGTGACTGTCTTTTTTTCTATCCTTTTAGTCATTTGAATACATCGATTGTGTGGTGGGTGATCAGAAATTGCGTTATTCTTTTTCACTCTTAAAAGTTATTTTTTTTTTTCTGATTGATTTCGTTGTTTGCTATTGGTATCACTTCTCGGATTTTTTGGTCATTTCATATGGGGTTTTTCTTTTTAATTATGACGACATTTATAACCATATGATTTGTCTATTTTTTTTTATCATTTTTATATTCGTTCTGTTTTTCCAGTGCCTTTTTGGCACTTTTTTTCGTTCATTGTTTGATTGAATTAGAACTTACTGAAAACGTTTCATATAATTTAGTTTTTTTTCCTACATTCATTTTACTGCAGCAAATCAGATGGCGTTCAGCCTAATATCTTTGAAACGCTCATGGAGCATTTTTACTGGTGGATTTATTGCTGTAGTTATGATATGGTACTTCAGGAATTGGAGACGACAACGGCAACGGAATTTAAATCAGTATGTTATTTTATATGATGTTAAAAGTGGTATTCTGTCGTTATTTTTGGTCATCCTTGGTTACATCACTTTTAGGATTGTCTTTTTGGCTTGCTAAATAATTGAAAGTCGCCTTTCTTCATATCGTTTTCTTTATTTTGAAATTTTTCGTTGCTTGCTTCAGCTGATCTGTGGGTGTGATAGCTGTTTACTTGGTTATTCAGTTCCGCTTTTATTGAGAGGAAAAAGTTTTTTTTGCATTTATGGATTAAAAGCTACTTTTTTCCAGGGTAAAATATAAACCAGAAAAAAATGACACGATAGCGACTGACGATGAGCCTACAGTTTTTGAAGAACAGAAATTAAATGTTTCATATGAGTCCCCGCCAAACCACAAAGAAGTTTCAGAATCTGAAATAAAATCTGAGGCTGATGAAAAGTCTCTGGAGAATGAAGTGTTCAGCAGTTTATGTGATCCAGTTGCAAAAAATGTGTTGGAAAAGGTGAGTTATGAAGATGAACTGAAATACAGCTCAGTTTCGCTGATGTTGATAACTGTATTAATATTTGACAGGCGTTTTACTCGCAGTAGCGTTATAGAATTAAGATTCTATTCATACGTGTTATTGTGAATTCTTACTAAAAATTGTGTCAAAAAATACTCGGTACATATTTTTGATGTAGATTTTGAACACTAGCTTATCATTTCTTAGTGTTATTTTATAGCAGGGAGCTGTTGCTAGTATACGAAATGATTTGCTTGAAGGTTGGAGGAAGGTTGTAAAACATTCTCAGATAAAAAAAAAAAAAACTTTTTTGCTTTCTGGCTCTTTTAAATAATGAGAATAATTATTTTTTCTAATAGTCGAGCAGTTGTTTTTTCTTATCAGTTTTTGCAAATGCTTTCTATAGATCTAAATTTTTTCAGAGAAGTTTAGATTACTTTATATCTGCTGAGCTTAATCGTTTAAATGTTCTTTTGGGATCTGAGCATTGTCCTCAGATTTCGTTTCTGGTGGTAATTTTTTTTAGTTCCAAATGGCTGAATTGGGTAGTTTTCTAATTGTTAGTTTCTCTGACTTATAATTAATCATTTTAAAATTACTGCAGATCAATATAAACTGAAAGTTGTTTTTTTTGCTTGTGGGTTTTGTTTATCTTGTACTCACGTGAGCTGGTTTATTGATGAACTTTTGACGCGTTCCTTAGATTTAATGTTTTAAAAGTTTGACTGATTTTTTGATGAAAAAGTTCCTATTGAAGGAGGACGATACGCAGTGCACCACAGAAAATGGGATTCATACACCAACCAGTTCATTTATATCAAGTCTAACATCTTCAGAGAATGATGCTGATATTGAAGAAATGATGGAAGAGAATAAGGTTATTTATCAAATCTTTTTATTTTGCTGTATTGTAGTCGTTCAAATTCTGTAAACCTATAAGTAACAATTTTTTACTTCGTAAATACAGTTTCAAAGTGTTCTGACATCTCTAGGTGTCTCTCGATAGTTTGAAACCAGTTGCCTCACCTGATAAAAACTTGGATTTGGATTCAGAAGACGCACCATTCAGCTGGCCCAAAGAAGTAGAAAATTCTGTTAAAAAAGAAATAGTTGAAGAGGAAGAGAATGGTAAAAATATTTATAACACTAACTGCGACTCAGCAGGCTGTTATAAGCCTGCTGATTCTCCAGCTGCTCATAGTGAGGTTAGTGTTCTCTCTTTTTTTTGTGTTTCATTTTTACGTATTTTAGAATTACTCATTTACTTCATTATTATGCAGTGCTATTCCTTACTAATAAGCATTTTTGTTTTGGTTCTATTAGTCACTAATTTTATTCTTTTGTTATTGCAGTTTTTTCTTCACGTTTTTTTGATAGTTGCTTATAAATTTTTTTTAATTCTTATGAATCTTTATCACCGGTATTCGCCTGTTAGCTCCTGATACTTCATTATTCTTATTTTTACAGTCATTTTCTCATCACTTATTTTCCAATTTTTCCTTTTTCAGAAATGAGGGAAGGAAACTTTTTTTTAGAGTACTTCAATCTTGTTGTTTTTGAAATGGTCTCACAATGAATTTCAAAATATTTAGTGCCCGAAAAGAAAATATTTTGTTTTCAAAAAATTGCTTTACGTAAAAACTTGATTGTTTCTTCATAGTTATCGTAACTATCGTATGAAATTTGTTCTGGATTTATGGTAGCGTTTTCGAGTATCCCAGTACTGTCATATATATATTTATATGGGTACATTCCGTTGATGAAGTGCTTATTGTTTCATAGGAAGCAAAGGTATTCTATTTTTGTTACTGGCATAGGGATTTTTGTATGGTTTTCAACAGCTTTAAAAGTTATGTTTCGGGTTTTTTACCACTTGAATATAAGGTCTAATTCCTTTTGCATCTGTTTTTACAATGCTCTCTATCGGTTATTAGCCTGATTAAAGCCTTACTCTCTTGAATAATTTGATTTGGCCGCTTGTGCTAATTCATTACGTTTGGTCATTCACTCTTTTCAAGTTGACACTTTTAAAAGCGATGATTCGAGTCTCACTTTCTACCAGATTGAAAAACAACAGGAAGAAGCATGTTGGACACAGTTTCTGCTTTTAATGGTAACTTTTTTACTTATTGCGGGTTCGCTGCAAACGTTTCGCATTTGTTGTCCCTAAATCCGTATTTACTTTGTTACGGTCCTACCTCCCTAAATTGGACTGGGCCTTAAAAATTTGGTTTTGGAAAAAATTACTCTGTTCATTTTTGCCGATCTCGAGTCTCGTAATTCTTTGTTTTTTTTTACTTTGGTTCATTCTTCTCTCAAACGGACAGTACGACGTTTTACATTGGTAGAAATATTAATTTATGTTTATACTGAACTAGCGCAAACATGTGTTTATCATAGATACAGAATTTTTGACACAGGTTATTTGGAATAGAAGTCGTTAGCATTTTATTTGATAATTTGTTACTGTTTGCGAAGTTCACCTTTGGTTACCGTATATCTGGGTTTATCCTGTGAACTGATTTTTCAGCTTTAATTTGCCGCTGTGTAAATAGATAACCATCCGCGATGACAAGGTTTACTTTCTCATATCATCTGCCGTAATTTGAGAAAACACCCTTTTTGAATTTTTACTGTGTTGCCATTTTAATGTTGTGGAAAAAATTGTTAGTTTTGGCAATCAATCAACTAAATGAATCATTAAAACTGACGTTTATGATTGTAGAACCAAAAACATATATACTTTAACAGGGTTTTTTAAAAACATTATACGGATTTAGCTGCAATAAGCGTTGGCAGTTTTGGCTGGCATTCATAATTGCGTTTAACTTTGTCGGCTGAAGGCAGTCTCACTGTTCCGAGATGGTACGTTAAGTTTCTGTTTATTGAATCAGTAAAAAGTGTGAGTGGGCAAGCTAATAAAAAGGGAGATTGATCTGAAAAAGACACTTATATATTTGTTTTGCATTTGATTTTAGTTGGAGTACAGTGAGTAGGATTCTTGTTGATTCTTTGTATTTTTTAATAAGATTTTTTTTCAATATTAGTCGTCACTCATCAAGTTCTTTTTGTATCTTGTTAGATGGGAGAAATTTGTTGGGAAAATTTTTACTGTTACAATAACAAATCACTTCGCTTAATATTCAATCATTATTGGGGTTAGGATCAAGATTTGAAAAAAAAAAAATTTTTTTTCAAAATTCAATTTTTTGTGTGTGTGAAAATGTAGGAGTCGCATTAACTTTACCGATGGTGATGTTGTTTTTTTATGCAAGATCAAACAGGGAAAAGTGATTGAACGATGCTTCTATGCCCTTGTTTCTCTTGCGTCTTCGTTACTTTGTAAATTCCTTAGTCTTTTACTAAATTAGAAGGTTGATAAATTTGACTTCTTGTGATTAGTGGGTGGAATTTTTCAAAATAATTATATTTTAGAAAGAGTAATTGGGAGTGTATAATAGGATAGCTTGAGGAAATTTTGTTTTTTGAGGAAGAGTTATTGTTGTTGTTGTTGTCACATTTTTACTTTTTTCCTTCCAAATTTTTTAGCTGGATATAATGATAACACTGGATTGTATATTGTTATAGTTAGTGTGTAAATTTATTTGCAAGTAAACTGTTCAGTGTAAGGTTAATACTGTGTTGAGTGTTTGGAAAAAAAAGGAAATACAGTGAAAGTATTCAATGATATGTAAAGTTAAAATTTGTTAACCAGACGTTATTTAAAGTCGAAAGTTACTAGCTAGATATTTAAAAAAAAAAAAAGCAGTTTTACAGTTGATGGCAATTTTATTGTGAAAACAGATTAATTTTAGTTTTGTAAAGGAATTCCGTTTTTTTATTCATGAGCACTATCGTAATTTTATAGTACATCACAAAATTTGTTACCCTTGCTGGGAATATGTTTGTGAGTTTTTCTACTTTCTGGTTTATTTTATTCTATTCTCCGATGTTTTCTTGGTCGTACTTGAACATTTTTTTATTTATTTATTTTTTTTTGTCGGCGTCTTAGATGTTTTAATAATTTAGAGGAATGTGTAATTTTTGATCATTTTGCAGAAGAAAAGGACGAAGAAGAAGAATAAAAATTATTATTCTTTACCCTTCGTTGTTTTTTGTTTGCCAATATAATATAATATATATGTATATTTATTTATTTAATTTATTTTTTTATCTTTATACTTCTATGTGCGTTTTTGCTGAACATTTTTGAATGGAAGATCCAGCTTTTATTGAATTTACACATTCATTTGAACTAATAGGTATTTTTTTTAAATGACGATAAGTTAAAAAACTGTTGTTTTTTCAGTTTTTCCCACCTATCATTTTCTTGTCTGCTGAAAACCGGCTGGATTATAATGATGAATTGGGAAGTACAAAGTTGAAAAGATTGTTGGGCGAGCACTAAAATTTTTAGAAAACAAACAAATAAGTGGAGAAAAGGAGAAAAGAAAAAAAGGAAAAAAAAGGGAAATAATGAAGAAAAAGGGCAAGGGGAGAAGAAACTGTAACTGTAATTGTTCAGGGATTGATTTGTACGTATACTGTGAACATGTAGTCGTGTAAAAAGAGAAACGAACAAATGTTTCATGGAAGTATTGAATTTGCAGAAAAAAAAACAGGAAGAGGGAAAGTAAATGTTTAAGACGGGTTCATTACTAAAGTACACTTTAGGTACTTTTTTATTTTTCTTGTTTTTGTACTTAATCTCTCTATTGTTGTTTTTGTTGTTGTTACAGACTGGAACAGTTTGGAAAGTCAGATTAATTATTGGCTTATATCAGCTGTAAGACGTTTAAGCAGTCTAGAAGAAAAAAAATTTCTGCACGTATCTTTTAGTTTGTTGTTTTTTATTTTATCGCACTGGTACGTGTAATGTTATTGCTCGTAATGCTGAGCAGCTTCCTGAAATTTGTTGAGTAGCACA